GCCAATGCCGAAGTGTGCCAGGGGCTGGCGCTGCAGCAGCTGCTGAGGCTGGCGTGGGAACAGGCTAAGAATAGCCTGTTCCCGAAACCCTGGTTTGGTGCCTGAGTTTCAGGGCCGGTTGTTCTGATGAACGACCGAAAATGGCCCTTCGTTTCAGGCTAAAAAGGCTATTGCCATTTTTAGTCTGAAACGACACAGGGACTGTAGGCCCCTGTTTTCAGGCTTTCGGACTGAACAGTCACGGGGCCTGTAGGCCCTGTTTTTCAGGCTTTTAGCCTGAATTTCAGGATTTCGGCCGGAGGGACGCAGGGCCTGGAAAATGGCCCTCGTGTGCAGGCGCAGCATGTAACACCCCCCCCTCCTTATGAAGTCAAGCCGGGATGAGGGCGAAGCCGATGATCTGAAGGTGGAACCTGGACGCGGGCGTGGCGTTGAGTCGAAGAAACCGGCTTGCCTTGCATCTTGCGTTCGTAGCGTGCGAGAACGTCTGGAGCTGTTGCTTGAAGTTCCGCACGGGTCAACAAACCGTCATCTCGGTGTGTGCAGTATGCAAAATGCACTAAATACTCGGTTGGCCTGTTGCTGTAGCGTCAATGGGAGATGATGTCGCCGACCTCCTGAAAACCATACATGGAGGGTGGGTCTTGCGAACGTCTCCCGGGAAAATCCTCATGTTTGCTGGCGTGTAAAAAGCCAACTTGGAGCAATGAAAGACTGGGTAGACGGGCAAGCGGGCGAGCACCTGAATCGTGAAGTAAGGTCCCTCAGGTGCGTCCCCAGCGGGTGCCACGATCGGCCAAGGCCCCATCCATTTCGGGAGGAGCTTGCGAGAGATGTCTTGTTCAAGGCTGAATTCCGCTGCGAAAACCCAAACGAGGTCGCCGGCGCGGAATGGGCAAGGAAGACACTAACGATTGGCCTGTTGGCTCATGCGCTGCTGCGTCTTAGCCATCTGGTCGCGTGCCTTGACAAGAAGCTCTTGCATCCGACGCAAGAAAAGAAGATGGACGTCGCTCTCGGCCGTTCGTGGAGTAATAGTGTCTAATGGTGAAGTGACCGGCGAGCCGTGCTCGAACTCGAAAGGCGATATCCCGATAGCCGGGTGGATGGAAGAGTTGTAGGCCAACTCGACATTTGGCAGCCGCTCAACCCAGTCCTTCTGGTCAGGATGGATGAGAGTGCGAAGGAGAACCTGTGCGGTCTGGTGCGCCCTCTCCGTTTGGCCATCGGTCTGAGGGTGGCGAGTTGAACTGGGCTTGAGAGATGAGCCCCATCGCTTGATGAGCGCCAACCAAAAATCGGACATGAACCGAGTGTCACAGTCGCAGACGATCTCCTTGGGGTAACCCTTGGTTCGAATCCAATCGGCATAAAGAACCTCGGCCAACTCCGGTGCCTTGGCATGAGAGCGGCAAGGCAAAAACATGGCAAACTTGGTGAGTCGGTCGACCACCGTGAAAATCCCATCCACTCCAGTCTTGTGCTTGGGGAACAGGCCGGTAATGTCCGTGGCAATCGCTTCCCTTCGCCTCAACGGGACCGGTAATGGTCGTAACTCGTCGTACGGACGATGGTTGCGGGATTTGCAGCGTCGGCAAACTTCGCATGACTCGCAATAGCGGGTGACATCGCTGAGAAGGCCGGGCCACCCAAATCGCTCGCGAATTCGGCCAATCGTGCGATTGACTCCAAAGTGCCCGGTGGCGGGAGCATCGTGGAACTCACCAAGAAGTTGTGTACGCAAGTGAGGATCATTCGATACGCAAAGAAGGTCCTTCCCCCGCGTGTGGACAAGCAAGTACCCCTCTTGGATCTGGTAGTGAGAAGGCGCCGGATTAGGAGAGGAGCAATTCGCGTACTTGTCGCAAAACTCGGGGTTGGCTTGGTAGCCGCTGATGAAGCTGTTCTGCAGGTCGTCGTCTATCTCGAAGGTTGAGTAGACCGCAATACAATGATCCGGACACCGTGAAAGAGCATCCGCAAAACGGTTCGACTTCCCCGGAATGTGATCGGGAAAGAAGTCGAACTGGTCAATGAAAATCATCCATTGAGCGATGGTGCTGTTGACGGTGTCTTGGGTCTTGTAAAAGACCAACGGATTGTTGTCCGTTACCCATCGAAATTGGCTTCGACCAAGGAGGAAGTGCCGCCACCGCTTGAGTGCGTGGACGAAGGCGAGGAACTCCTTCTTGCGTGCATCGTCAATGGAATGCACGACGGGCACTTTCTTGTTGAAATACTCGACCAGGTGCCAGTCCACACCATCATGTTGCTCAAGGACTACACTAATGCCATAGCCTAACGCATCCGTAGTGACGCGTGTAGGTAAAAGCGGGTCGTATATCCGCAAGACCTCCGCAGACAATAGCGCGGCTTTGAGAGCCAAAAATGATTCCCACGCCTCCTCTTCGAAGTCAAACGGCCGATCCTCACATTGAAGCTTGGTCAAGTGGGCTGCGATCTTCCAGTAGCCTTTGATAAAACGCTGGTAGTAGCCGGCAAGGCCAAGGAATGAACAGACATCTGTGACGTTCCGAGGCTCCGACCACTTTTGGATGGCTTGAATCTTGTCCGATAGCAGACTGATGCCCTCCGGTGTAACAAAATGGCCCAAGTATTCCAGCTCCTGTCGGACAAATTCGCACTTGTCGCGGTTGGCCTTGTACTTGGCGAGGCGGAGCGTCTCCAACACTCGTCGAAGATGTCCAAGATGATCCTCCAATGTCCGGCTATAGACGAGAATATCGTCTAAGTAGACCAGTACGAACCGGTCCAACATTGCACGAAACTCGTTGGTCATTGCCGCTTGAAAGGTCGCCGGGGCGTTGGTGAGGCCAAAAGGCATGACCACCCACTCAAAATGTCAGTACCTCGTCTTGAACGCGGATTTGTAGTGATCATTCGACCGGATTGAGATTTGATGATATCCCGATTTCAAATCCAACTTAGAAAAATACCTTGCGCTGCCCAATCGCTCAAGAAGATCGTCGATGCGAGGAAGAGGCCTCGCATTCTTGACGGTTTGCTCATTGAGCTTGCGGTAGTCGACACACAATCGTAGATCCTTGTTCTTCTTCCGGACGAAGAGAACTGAACTGGTGCTCCATATGGGGAGCTACACGGGCGGATCCAGCCCTTGGCCAACAAGTCGTCGAGCTGTGCGCGGAGGACCTCAAGCTCCTCCTCGCTCATCCGATAGATGCAACCTTTCGGCGGCACGGCACCGGCCTCAAGAATGATCTTGTGAGAGATCGGCCGATTCGGCACCACACCGGTAGGTGACTCGAAGATATCGGCGAACTCGTCCAGCAACCGCACCACCCGGGGGTCCGAAGACAAGTCCGTGGGTGAAGCGTCGGCTACCGTGATGGTCCGTAGGAAACATAGGCCGATCTCCTCGGGCTGCTCATAAGCGCAAGTCGCCCGGAATGATTTGGCCGTCACCATTTGGCACCGAATCGAAGGGTGCGGTAGAGGAATAGTACACGCCACTTCGGCCCCGAAGGCGTCACGAACGCTAAGAGTCTGCCGGTGGAAGTTGACTGTGTGATCTGCACTTGCAAGCCAAGGCATTCGCAAAATGATGTCGAAGTCCGTGTCGAGAATATCGAACGTCACTGGTTCGCATGCATGAGGTGCGAAATAAACCGGTACGGCCTCGATGTAACGGTCGAGAAGTTGTTGCGTCTTTCCATCCGCCAACTTGATCGCCGTCGGGTTTGCCTTCCTCCGAACTTGTGCGCCAAGGCCAGCCCTTTGCATACAGGATTGGCTCATGAAATTGCGAGACGCACCGCTATCCAGCAAAGCGCTGCAGGACGCTTGCCCAACCTGAATGCGGACATACATGAGCGGTGTGTTGTTGTCATCGTACCGCTGCGTGCGAAACTCGCGGGCCACCTTGGTAACATACGCAAGGATGTCCCCCACTGCGACTTCGTCATCCGTCGGCGAAGTTGGTGGTGCATAGAAGGATAAGTACATGTGCAGATGAGCGCATAGTGCTGCGCATTGCGGTCCCGGCAAGCGGCCCGTGGTCAGGAGAGGAAACCATGCAAAGTCCTCGGACGTGAGTGGGTCCAATACCTCTATGTTGAACTCGCGTGCCGAATCCCGTGAAGAACCACTTGAAGATGATAAGTCGCCGCTGCCGGACGGAGAAGATGCCGCACACACGTCTTGTCCTTGAGCTTGAGTACCCAGCGTAGGAACGACCCGGGCAGCATAGTCCTCAAAAGAATATAGAAGAGGAGGACTATCGACTTCCGCATGTGCCTCGGAATGAAGGCCGGCCACTCGCGAAGAGACCGGTTCCGGAGGCGTTGAGAGTGTCGTCGAGTCACTCTCGGCGGTGCTCAGTTTCCCTGTTTGCCCTTGCCTTTCGATGGGCAGGCAATGTCTCATGGAGATCGATGTTGCACCATAGGCAATAGTGGAATCTCGTGCGCGCCTTGAATGCTTGCTCGAAGATGCCATATTGGGACCAAGGGGCTGGAGCTGCTGCGCCGGGCCCGGGGCTAGATGTGGTGTGTGTCTTCGTCTTGCCGCGTCCTCGGCCTCTGCCGGGGCGGCCACCTTCCCGGGCGGCTGCGAGTCTGTCTCCTTCATGGGCAGACACGGCCTCGCTAGTTTGGTCAAACGGCGTTGCAGCCGCGACCACGGCCACTCTTGGCCGATGCTGGTCTCTGCTCGGGCCTGCCGCAGACGAACGCAGGTTCTTAGCCTCCTTGTTTGTAATGATGATCTGCGCGGCCTTGTCAAAGAGTTTCGCCGTTGTCGTCAAGGTGTCCTCGACATGAGTCAAGGCATTGCTTAATGCCGGACAGGACCTTGAGATGAAATAGTGGCGGAAGGGTTTGAAGCCCATCTGGATGTCTGGGACTGACGTCAAGCGTTGGTACTCGGCGATCCAGTCAGTACTCGGCAGCGTGCCTTGTTCGAAGACCATGAGCTTGTACATAGCCTTGATCTGCGGTGGCTCGACTTGGAACCGCTTGTGCCACGCCGCCTTCAGATCATCCCAGCTGATCTTGGTGTGCAAGTTGACAGCTACCACTCCGTACTTGGACAAGAGATTGTCCAACCAAGCCTGGCACGCGCCCCCTGAGCGAGAGTACAAGTATGCGTGGTGCTTGTGTTCTTTGACGTTGTGGAGCTGCAGCGTGAGCTCGAACTTGCGGAACCATGGGATTGGATCTGTGAGTCGCAGAAGATCTCCTGCCCGTCAAACTTTGGAGCTGTCTCGCGCGGTTCCGGACTCGAGGTGTTGGCTGCGGTGCAGATCCGCTGTTCCAACTGTTGTGTTGCGGTCTGCTGTAACTGCACGCCGTCCTTGAGGGAGCCAACGTCCATCTCCAATGCTTCGAGGCGATCGGAGGTATTGGAAGAGCTTGCATCGGGGGCGGCGACAGGTCACTGCTCCAGCTGCTGGAGGCGGCCTTGGACTTGAGCTAGCGAGTAGTTGAGGTTGTGGATATCCTCCTGCTGTGTAATGCAGGTTGCCAGGAGGTCTGTGAGATGGGAGAGGAGGAGAGCGATCTTGTTTTCGCTATCCCCCATCTTGCCATTCTCGGCCTCGGTCCGCCATTCCGCTGCCATTGTGAGCAAAGTCTGCTCTCCGCTAAATATCTTCTCACGACGTTGGTTTCTTTCTTCATCGGCAACCCTTGCTGCTGCCTCGTCATGSTGGCGCTGTTGTTCAAGTGCCAACAGACGTGCCTGCTCGGCGTCCTCTGCCTTCTTTTTCGCTGCTGCTGCTGCGTCATCTGCCCGTTTCTTTGCTTYGGTACTCCAAGCCAGCATCTGGGCCTGATAGGCCTCGTCTGCCTCTCCGGACCTCTGGTCCATGACGRCTGTATGTGACCGCAACAGCATAGACCAGGCCGGGGGCCTGCTGACATGGTATTTCCTGCTCTGTCGGCTGACGTGTCCGGCTGAYGTGGCCTGCTGGCGTGTCCTGCTGTTACATCTTCGACGCCACACAGGACCCGACTTAGGGCTAGATGGACACATCAGGGCCTAAAGGCCCGACCTTGGGGGCACTACAGGCCATAAAGGCCTYACCTTGGACCAGACCCGACGGGCAGGCCCAAACGACATTACCGTTTGGGCCTGGCGACGCTCTTGAGACTGCCGCCCGCCGGTTGGGGCTGAACCGTCCATCTGGACGGTTCAGGGCACGGTCAGGCCTCGCAGCATAGAGGCCGACCTCTGCCCACCGGTACAAAGGTACCGGTCCAGCCTCAATAAGGCTATCGACCTACCGGCATTCTACCGGTACGGTATGGTACAGCGTGATACAGCGCTGGCGCTAAGATTAGCGCAGGAGCAGCGAGGAACAACGCAGCGCAGATTAGCGCAGCAGCAGCGAGCGGAGCAGCAGCAGCGACGACTGGGTTACCGGTGGCCATAGCCGCCTGAGGTATTGGGAGTTGGAGGCTTCCCTCCTCCCTCCCATCGCCAGTCCCCTCTCTCTCTCTCTCCTCCTCGGCTCCTTCTTCTTCTTCTTCTTCTTCTTCTTCTTCTTCTTCTTCTTCTTCTTCTTCTTCTTCTTCTTCTCCTCTTCAGACTCCATCTTCTTCTTCTTCTTCAGATTGGAGACTTATACTAGTTGGACAAAGATCAGTATCGGACTTCGGTGGTATGAGACTGTGGTACTTACCGGATTGGAGACTTGGAGATTGTTGGGGTTGATACTCGACTGCATCACAGGACACCGGTTACATTTGGACTCTGTACCTCCGACATTGGTGACCTRTTGTCCTCGACATTTTGATCTTCTGGGATGGCATTTTGGACTACCATATCGGTGACCTATCAGATTCTATCTTGGCGACCTTCGGTGCTGTCTACCTCCCCCACCTCCTTCGTCTCTCCTCCTACCTCTCATCTGTGTATGCGTGTACGAGGTCTGGGCATCGTCTATGCTTGGCCCAGACCCCACCATCTCACGATTGTATGTGTGTGGAGTGATTCTTGAGTCAGWCTGTGTGAGTCAGTCTATGTGAGTCAGTCCGGTTATCAGACTTCCGCTGCATATATGCTCATCCTACATTGGTTGATCTTTGGTTCTGCCCATAC